TATCTGCAATCTCTGAAAGTTCTTCAGCTTTTCCATGTTTGACAGCCTGACGCCCTGACGCGATGAGGGAGTCGTCGGGTAGTTGATGAGTTTAAGCCATGATATGTTCGACAAGAGAAGATGTCACCTGAACAGATGAGGCATGTTCGCGTGCCGCCTCGTGACATGGGTTGCTCAAGCTCAGGCCGCCTAGGCGTACTGGTAGTGCTAGAACGTGTCTATCCAGTTTGCTGCACTTGCGCCCTACGATTCCTGGTATAAGGACCTGGGAAATAGCCTCTTCAAGTGGCCCTAGAAGATCTTGGACGTCAGGGAGAGTTCTTAGGAAGTACGTCCAACGATGCTTTAAACCAAACGTGTAGGCGGCATAGCTGGCCTGCGGTTGAATCTGTGCAAATTCAGCCAGCTGAACAACTTCATTGACCCAGCTATTTGCTTTCTGGTTGACATAGTCCTGCAGATAATCTCTTGAGCGTATCACAGCTCCAAGATGCTTTTGCCCTTCTACTGTCACGTTAATTGCTGTATCGTTAAAGGCTTCTCTAACAAGTGCTTCCTTTTCTGGCTTTGGAATAATACAGCACTTTTTTCCGTTTGGAAAGTAGCCAATGTCTGGACCGAATGTATTAGACCAACCCACTTAAAGAGGGTTGACACGTAATAGTTAAAGGCTAATAAACTTGTGGCCCTGAGAAAATAAAATGACAAACTATGAATGCAATTATAATATAATAAAAGTTGAAAACCGAAATTTAAGAAAGACGCGAGTAGTGGAATTACAATAATATTAAACGTCTGTGAAATATAGATGTAAATATAGATATAAATAAATGTAAAAGTTAATCATAAAATGGTCTGTGCCCTGTGACAAAATATTCGGTTTCTGTCAACCAGATTTTAGAAGTCTGGACTGACTCTCAAGAAAAACTGAATTGTTTAGGCAAAAATCTTACCAACCCTTTAGATGGAAAATTCTCATCGGTTTTTTTTTTCCCTAGAAATGGAAAGTGATGGAGCCCTTCTTTTTCTTTAATTTCACTCTCTAGTCGATTCTTGACTCGTCATAACTTGGGTATTAGAAATCACCGACCTCACAGGTTTAAATTCTTTCTTTTTATTTCTTAAAGTTCGCAGAACAAAATGAAAAAGTTAAACACATAGCAAAAGGTAAGTCTGCGGGGGAAATCTGGTGTAAGGTGGAACTCGTTAACGAATGTAGCAACATCTCGTAATTAAAAGGCAGTGGCGAAATGATGTTGGATAAGGAAAAAAATATCTTTAAGTCTGCCAACGATTTTCCACTTGTTATGAAGTAGGTTGTTGTGCATCGTGGTAGCTAGATGATAATATAAATTTGTTCTGTTGTCTCACGAGAAAGTCACTACATGTAGAACGCGACGTTTCGACTGCTTACTGCCAGTCTTCTTCAGGCTGAAGAAGACTCGCAGATTTTCCACTTGTGGGTCACAAACTCATAACGTCTAGATTAACGACCAACTTTACACGCTAGATTTTGAAGATCGACAGATCGTGACGTAGCCACTTGCAATAAGAGGAAAAGGGAGAGGTCGTGTTATGCTTAGCGAGCTCTTTAGAATAAGCGCACCGGTTTACTTTCGACCGAGCCAGAACGGAATTGTAGCTATTCTTGACAGCCAGACAATAAGGTTGTTCTTATTATTTTGAGGGTCAAAACCATTCTCATTGGTTGTCTGTTTCTATACCGTATCTTCTCCACTGATTTTCCTCCTCAGGAATGTCAGAACTAGATGACAAAGTAACTCACCTTAAACAGGACATGTCGCTCTACAGACGTCAGGTGGACAACAAACGAGGCGACGATGAGGTGTGATCATCTGTTGAACCGACCTTTTCTCTCTTCAAATTTTCTTCTGATCCTATAGATTTTTTTTGCAGGAATTAGCCGCCTGTGCGTCCTCTATTTGTCAAAGCAGCATAACTACATTGGCTTTTTATTCTGTAGCTGGTGTCCTTGGTCGCAGAGCAGCTTATCAAGAATGAGGACCTTACTGGCTGGAAAATGGCGCTGAAGGAGATCCACGCAGCTCTTAATAAACAGGTAAGTCAAATATATGTGGGATATTGACCCGGGATGAGGTGAAGTTGTGGCTATCATCCTGACCAAGTTGAAAGATTCATTCACAAAGGTCGTTTAGTGTTCTTTGCTGCAACTGTTGGTCCGTCTGCAATTAGTCTGCTGAAAAAAATCCGTTAACAAAACCTTCTTACCTTGTTAAACGAAAGGCCACATGCGCTTTTTCTCACGGGATCAAAGCGGATAATCCCGAATGATAAGGATGGTGGAAGAAAACCTCGTGATAGGTTGCACAGGCAAGTCGCCAAGGTAACCAATTAAAACAAAACGCTCGTGTCCTCTCGCCTGCTTGTGCAGCCATCCCAAAAGAAAATATTATCTTCGTAACCACAACTAAAAGATTTCCTTCGGCTAAGATTGACATTCTCCAGTGGAGAATGGTAATCTCAACTAGAGCTTGTTAGCTCAGTTAGTAGAGCACTGCACCAGTATCGCAAAGGTCATGGGTTTAAATCCCGTACGGGCCTGAATTGTTTTCAGGCGTTATGTTCACTGCTACATAAGTAGTGTTCATTACTGCTAGGATCGCGGTACGCGGTACGCATATATGATTTTCATAAATTCATAATTATTGATTATTTTGTTTGCTTTGTTCACAAAGTCTGAAATCAACACATCAGTGCATCATTCATATGCAACTCTAGACAAGCGGACAGAGGCTATCAGTCAAAAAGTCCAACTTCATGGAAGGTGAGGTTACATGGAATTACAGTCGAACCTGTATTCAGCGGTCACCGCAGGGGATGAAGGAACAGAATAGGAGTATTGTATGTATTTACGAATTGAAGACAAGCCACAATTGAAGACTAAATTTGCAAAAACTCGCATAAAAATTCTACTAACGTTGATTTTGGGAGATAAACATGGATTAAATTTTACTTGAAAGATTTTTTTGATAGTTTTATTTGAGTGATTGCGCCACCGTTGACCGTTTGATACAGGCGGAGAACAATACAAACAGGCTGACCGCCCAATTGAGGGGATCGCCTCAACAAGGGCGAAATTACACAGCAAAGGAACTGGTAACGAAATCACTGGATGATCATTATTTTGTACCTTTCAACTCCTGCCTAATGGTTGATTTCAGGTGGCGCTGGAGCGGCGTGTCAAATTTGTACCCCAAGGCACATTCGTGTGTTGCAGATCAACATACAGACGATATAAGCTTTAATTCTCAAATACACAACACTGAATCACGGAGCCTGGTTTGGGAGAAAGGCAAACCCTATGTGGTAGTAACGACAGGAGGCTGTTACTGGTAATTTTTTTTTATTTCAGTTTCTCCCTTGATCTCAATTACCCTTTCACTGCTAAGATCTCATTAGTGATTCTCCTTACTGTCTGCCATACAATTCTTATGATGTTAGTTTGGAGAATTTGATGTTGGATCAACTAATAATCCCCTAATTGATATTTTTCTTTATTCTCATCACTTTTCTACTAGGTATTGTATTGATATTGTAAGGAGAAATTTTGTCTTGGTCACTCTTGCGAGTCAACGACTTAATCTTGTGTCGTTAGTTAAGCCTCATACGACTCCTTTCATAAAGTGTGTTACGAGTTCTTGATAGTATATGGTATATAGCACTCTGATGCCAATATCAGGTTACGTCGGGTTTTTCGCTAAAAACAGGTCGCTTCCACACCGTTTCAAAGGGGAATTTCTCTCGGCATCATATTGTAAAATCGTTAACCCTTTGGAACGTGCGGTCCTTTCACTTCTGAAATCTGAAAGGTTTTTCTCGTTACCAAGGACCATACATGATTTGTTGACTAGATTTGATTTTACTTCGAAACTTAAAACCCTCAATGAATTATATTTCGTATTTGTTTGACAGCGTATTAGAATTGCGAGGAAGATTACTAGTCTTGATTCCCTAATTCATTTTTCTTCAAAAAATCATTTGAGAAAAATACTACAATTCAAACTGTTTCCTCATACGAATTCAACGATTTTTGATGCCTCATGAAAGCATTATGTTTTTGTCTTGCTATCAGGCTTTCAGTTGGTGCTTTCTCCAAGAAAACGACAACACCACCCTCCTTACAAGTCACTATTGATGAAGAACCCGTCCCTCTGGTAGGTTTCAATGTAATATCGTTGATCAACTGTTCTTGGTCGAACTCTTTGTGAGTTTTCGTGAACTTTCAGTAGTTAGCATTGAGTTTCGATTCTGACTCGTCACCAGTCGTCTCTTATAACTCCTTGGAAGCGCTAGAATGGGACGAGCAGTTATAAGGAATGGGGAGGACAGTGGGATATGAGCAAGAAACAGATGGAAAGGTCCCTTTCTTCTTCCTTTCCATCTGTCCCAACGCACGCTCGTAACTTGCCAAAATGTGGTTGATTTTCCCGTCCCTTTTTGTTTTTTTATAATGAACTTGATTATATGTGACCTTGGTCTTCCACTTTTTCCGTGCATTAGCTGTTCTTTCCCGTGATTCCACCAGTACAAACTCTCACTACTGTGTATGTATAAACACACTAGTGGATTCAGCCAACGACCCTTTCAACAAAACTAGACTCTACCCTTGAAACGTCGCTGGCATCTCTAAAATATTAGCGTGTTTCTTTTCTTATTTCCTTACATCAGTTTCATTGTCAACTGTAGTGAAGCTTGTTTAGTTTAGCTTGATCGTCATTTGGTGATGAAAAGAGTTTTTGTTTTCCTTCTGAGTTAAGTCTAATCTTGTACTGTGTTTCTTTATTTTGTTTTGTTTCCCTTGTTTTTTTGTATTTTTTTTTTTTATGTTTTGGTCTTATGTTCTGACATGTACTGATCCAATTCAGCTGACCTGTCATTTGCAGTTTAACAGTTCTGGTAAATCACCAAGTAATCACAGAATAAGTGTCATTTCTTCAGCTCCAAAATACCAACCTCCCGCGGCTAGATTAAAAGGAGAAGGAACCGGATCGTGGAGACCAGGTAATGTTGTTGAGTAGAATTTTCTCTGTTGACTGCCTCGGTAGTGGAGAGCAATTTCCCACTGAGTATCAAATATAAACCAGGGCTGCATTGTGGCTACGTACACCTTCTGACTACAAACCTGAAGCCAGACGCGACCCTGTCCTTCGCGCTTTTCCGCACGTGTAGTCAGTTACCATTACTAAAATTTGAGCTCTCATTGGCTACCCGTGATGTCAACCTTTGTTCTGATTGCCTGTTTTGATCACTTTGGCCTTCGTTTCCCGACTGTCTGTTAAAATGAACTCCAATCAGTAGTTCAAACAATATCTAGGCTTGGTGGGTCGTGTTGGGAACTTATTTCTTCTTGGCGTAACTAAATTTGTTTTTCATTGATTTCTTCTTTAAAGGTTCCAGTCTTACCGGCGCAGTATTAATTCCCGCACATAGTAGAATAAGCATCAGCCCAACAAGCACCGCACCAGGGACACGGTTGAGTGTGGAGGGATACCTGGAGTTGTTCAAGATGTACTAAAGATACAAGATTTACTGATCCTACAAACTAGAGGCAATTTTTTTTTTCACTAAAAGAACTACGTGGCTATACTTCGATTCATTTTGAGTCATACAAATTAAATCGTCTTTAATTACATAGAAATTGTAAAAAAGTCGTCATATAGGGTAGGTAAACAAGAGTGAAGAGTGGACAGAACTAGAACGAAGATGGGTTGGGATGGATGATGACGTAGCTTTACAGAAGCGCACGCTCTGATTGGCTAAAATGCTCGATTCATTTGCCCGTGGGTTGCATGCTGACGTCAGTTTGTTTTGCTTTTTTCTTTTTCTACACGAAACGAAGCTGTTTGAAAATCTAAGTGTTATAAAAGAAATGATTAGTGTGCAACCATCGAGTTATGGATGCACTTTGGAGGTTTGCCAAGCACTGGAGTCGCATTCGGCTATCGCCTCGTCAAGGGAAGGTCCTGTCCCAAACAGCTTCTATGTTTTATTGTAGACAACTCGCTAAATAATTTGCGTTTGCTGGGTTAGTACCCAGTGTTGCAAACGATGGTGCAAACTAATTTAAATTCTTCTGGAATGCTAAACACAAGAGAAAGCACATCTCGAACCCTTCCACTCGCAAAGGGAATCCATCAGGATTGCATTCACATCGTTAAAGACAAGCTGTTTTAGTTCGGCTAAACATGACGAATGGAAATTACTCTTGGGTTGGACAAACTGCTCTGAACAAGTCAAAACAGAGAAACGGTACCTTTCATTACGCGTGCTCTTGCATTCAGCTATCGCCGAGGATCGCACCGAGGTAGCACCTGATATTAATTATTATGCCTTAGACTCACAATGGAAACTCTGATTGGTCGAGAGCATATAGTCATCATACAATAGCGTGTGGAGTTGACATGATAACCCAGTATTGGGTTATTAAGTTGAGTTCGAAGTCGACCTAGTTTCTAAGCCCCTTGTCCGTGTATTGTTCTCAAACTTTTGCAAACTCAGAGGTCTTCTTTTGCAATTTTTTTTTTTTTAATGTATGATAAAGCAGTTATTGAATTCGGTTTGCGCATGATATTATGAATTAGTATATACTAAAACAGTGGATAGCGTTGAAGGCGCGCTCTGATTGGCTAATCAAACTCCGAATATCCTTTCCTATTTACCTCCGAGCAACTTGGGAAAAAATGGCGTCCCGGTTTGCATCCGTGACAAGCGAAGAAATCACTCAAACAAACGACGAAGCAGTGTATATTATCTCACTATTTTAAATAGTTGTTAACTATCAGCCTCGTATTTATGTTATCTGCTTCAGCCATCGGCTTCGACTGATAGTCAGACTTCGGCATTGATAATTCCTGGTATCATGCGTAACCTCATCCAATAATTGCTTATTAGATTTATCCGAACGAATGGGCGGGCTTTTGAAATAGTGGCGTAAATAACTGAAAAAGCCAATTAGTGTTTCCGTGCAAATAGAAAAACGTAAAGTAGAGATTTATTTCTTTTTTTAAGAAAATTAATGATATAAATATACCGTGCAAATAAAATATGTGCGTGTAATACAAGCGTGGTTAGTTCCATTTATTGCCAGCGTCTGTTTTGACTCTAATTTTATTGCTTTTACTAAAAATGAGGATAGTTTGTGCAATTTGTGCAGGAAAATCAACGGTAATCAACTTGTACTGCATTGTCAGTAATCGGTGTCTGCTATTAGCAACCAGAAAACACACGAAAATGAAATTATAGTATATCTATCGATGTAGAGTCCCTCTTCACTAATAAGCAGATCTAAGATACTGTACAGACTGCTATACTACGCAAACTAGAAAACGGCTGTTCCCCACTCAACAACCGTCGGGGGACTTACACCCGCCTGAACGAATTGACGACATCTTGAATTTCTAGATTTGAGGCAACTATTTTGTGAAACGCGTTTGGGCAATATTACACATGGGCAGAACATTCTGTATCGAAGTACTATATTTGAATGGGAGATCTTTGGACTGTCAAGTAATTTTTGTCTGACTTGTCGCTGATAATCACGGGAAAGCTCCTTGTACGTCACCATGGGGCGTCCTTTCCATGGTATTGGAAAGCGGGAAAATAATTAGTGCCCATTCTCCACTCCAACCTGCTACAGCCATCGTTCTATATAAACTTTTTACCTTCCGTTAGTTTTTATTCGTGTGTACATGATAAACGTTCCAAGTATTTTAATTTACTTTTATATAATGTTAAGCAGGCCTCCTGTAAAATAGATCTGACGCTAAGTGGGGTGTTGCTTTATAAAAAACGTATTTCTTAATTCCCTGGTAAATGTGTCTACGGATGATTGTTCCATTTGTCTGAGTGATGTGAAACCACATTAGCTCAAACGTAACTCACGGGCTGAAAAGGAAACTCTCTTCCGCTAATATTCATACACAAAACAATATTAAGTAGTGAGAGAGAGGTTGAAATAATTGAGAAATTCGTTCCTAAAGATCAGCTGCTTTTGATTATAATCTGGATGGGCCGGAGGGGAGTTTATCGTACAAGACCGGATCGAAACCCGCTTGACTATGAGAACGTCTCTCCTGTCATTATAAATGGAACGCTCGCCATCCGAGCTAATGCTGTCGTTAGAAGAATCGAGAAATTTGAGTACATCGCGAAGAAAAGGAACTGAACCAGTTCAAGAGTAATTGTCTTGATGTGTCATAACCAAGCACGCTATTAGGAATTTCAAGTTCATTCTACATTCAGCTAGTGCATGATTGTTGTTAAATCTCCATCGATTCAATACACTGATATCCGTATTATCCGTATTCTGCTGCCATATAGCGACCAAAAAGAACAAAGGTAGTGACAGAAAGCAAGAATGATATTCATCTTCCACATATCACCGTGAGGGAATAAAAAAAAGCCTTCAAAAGAAAGATGATTCGATTATCAAGTTTGAAATCCATACAATGTGGGAAAAAATGTACGGGGGTCATTCATTTACGCACGAAAAGGGCATATTATGGTCCGGCACTTAGGTCTGCGGTAAGATTCCGTGCTTTTCTAGAGCTCACGAGATTTTACTTTGAATTTTAAGTAAGGAAGTATTAGCGGCTTTTGTTCACTGACCAATATATAGCCTTAGAAACCATTTTGTTGAGCTCGAGAGACCCTTACCTACGACAAACCCATCTCATCGAAACTGTTTCAAAAAACCACATCCGACTGTGGATGACCGAGAACTCCGCAGACGGACCGCCCTTTCAATTACCAACAGCAGAAACGCCTCATCTGATCCTTTCCGGGATTTCGAGTACACCTCAGTTCATTTCCCGTCCGTGTTTTGTTTGGTTTGGGGGTATTTCCTGTTTATGCTCATCAAAGACTGCAGATCATCGGGACCAGTAAAATAATAAGCTATCAAATAGTTTCACGAGAAATTCATAACAAACGAGTATGAGTAAAACTTTAAAAGACTAAGTTTAGTGGCATGATCGCGGGAGCTATGAGGCGAGTGCAAAGCATACTGTTCTTATTTCAAACTCCATCCAAAATCTTTTGATGACCAGTTCATGATAGACATTTGATTTTGAAGTTTTGCCCAAAATTTGATCTTCTGCTCACAGATGTAACCGCAGCCAATGATCATGCAGAGATTTTTGCATCAACAGTTGAAACCTTCCCTGTGAAAGTAATGGTTACGAATAAGAAAAGAGATGGCCATGACTCCCAGCATCATTTTACCCTCTTTCTATTTTCAAGAATAGAGAGCGCCCAGCTGATCACTTCCATTCTCGTCTTGACTGTATTTTTTTGTTTTTAAAAATCTGAACGCTTATTTCCTAGTTCTGGAAGCAATTACTCCCAACTGATGAGGATTCATGCAATCCTATGTTCGCGGTAATGGCGCGAATTCAGTTTTATATTCAAATGATTTCCCTGAGTCTCGTTACCTTCAAGAGAATGTAGATGCCGATTACTTCTAAGAATGAAAGGGCTCAATGCACTTTCCAGTTAATGGGATATTTCAAAGCCCAGTATAGTTTTGATAATTGATGCCGATAAGCCTGTATACGACAATAACCGCAATCGAAAAAAAAAAAAAAAACGTGTTCTCACTTATTTCCGTGACGTGTGATCGTTAGTTTTTTGCTCGTTCAAACAAATTGAGCTACTCTAGAAATTACGTGAAAAACAAATCAGTCGTCAACAAACCCTTAATGTGTATTTTTCTGATATATTTGCTACACTTCAAAAGCAAAGACTGTAACTGACTTAGAATTTAAAAATCTGGTCTGACAAGAGGCCTGAGAGGTCGTTAGCATTCAATTTACGCATTCTTTGTTTTTGCTCAGTTTAACCGTGTGCAGAACTGACGTAAGGACCCCTTCAGTGTGAGACCAGTAACCTGGGCCAGTTTGGTTTCAATATTATTTAAAGGAGGAGAGGGCAGTGGGTTATGGGTAACCTTTTCGAAGATGTGGTTTTTGGCGACCAAGATCACCGGAGGATGAACCATTCATGTTTTTTATTCATTTTTTTTCCTTTAGTCTCAAGACCTCCTTCAGCTGGCAAAGAACAGCTATCTACGTGCAGCCAATATGACTCAAAGAACGAAACAAAACGCTTATTAATAATCACGCATCAAAATATCTGAATATTACTTTGAACATGATTGCGTCACGCTGAGAAAAGAGGATACTAAATATTTCATATCTGTGGGCCGCTAAATTGAAAAGCTTATGGCAAAATTCACAATTCAAGGGCAGATTTTTACATATTACGAGTTTAACTGTGAGAAATCGCCATTATTGAAGACCATCTAGTTTTTAACCGTTGGTGCCTGGTTGAAAATTCGGTCCCAAATTTAAAGGCCATGGGAATTGAAACGATGCTCTTTTTCAACCAATATCTATCTTAATTTGAGTCATTGTATCAAATGCATGCAGCTCGACATCGATCGTGGAATTAAGTGTTCAACGAGACTTGGTGATGAATAGGGTAATTTTTTTAAACACTAAACACGGAAACGCGAACTTAAATGAAGTCCACAGTTTACTTTGTCCCACGAGATAGTGCACCATTTTATTGTCCCTAAAATCATAATACCGGTGTGCAAAATGTCTCGCTTAATGTAACTTTCACTTGTATCTCGGCAAAGTATTTTTAATCCCGCTGCCGGCGATTCGTGAATAAACATTATATATCTATCTTTTCATTTTGTTAATTACTCTTTTGTTCTCCTACTCAAGATCGCTCATGTCTTTGCCTTTGGGATAATTGTGAGGGAATTAGTCCGTTTATGTCGTGTTACGTGCACGGGCCGTAACCATGTTGTCGTTTGCTTTTGGTGAGAAAATTTCCTTGAATTGGCGATCTATTGTGTTTCAACTCTACCTAGTCGACAATTTGTCTGACATGCTACAGACTTGCTAAAATTGCGAGTGACGGCCCATGTGACGTTTGTTTAGCTGATTGCAGCGCCTTGAAAGAATGCTCAAACGATTCTCGCTGCGTCAAGCTCTCAAGGCGCACGCTACAACAGCTAATGAATCACCTTAGAATCATGTACTCTCGACGATGAAATAAGTTATCGAAAACATTATGTTCCCCGATAACCATCGCTCAAATACTACGTAACGCCACTACCAAGCATTTTGAAATATTCCAGTTATCGTGACTCGACCAATGAACACTGAACTGATTGAAATATTCAAAATTTATCCAACTCTAATGAAAGATTCCTTCGATTGCACCTCGTATGACTGCCGCTTTCTTTCTTCTGATCTGGGACCCCACGAGTTGATTTATTCCCGTTTCGTGTTTGGCTTGCGTGAATGGAATGTGTTTGTTCAAGTGGTCTGCAGGCGGTTCATTTGATGGATGGCTCTATAATTATGTGAAGTTCTTCGCAAAATCTCATTTGTGTATTATTCCGGCCGGAAAACATCGGTTACATTGTCCTTGTTTCGGACTGTATTGTAAAGGATTCTAGAGTGTAGAGAAAAGAAAACAACAATCTCAAAGTAAGGGTTTTTACAAGACGAAGAAGGCCTTCAGAGTATACTATCTCTCTATCTAAGCGCGTGCGTGTCAAAGCTCACCCCAGCTGTTTGCACAGGCAAATAAAATTAACATCTGTACACTCAATTGGCTCGCTTTACACGTCTCATTTCATATCAATTATTCCCCTGTCAATCACTCTTCGGGAAGTCTGAAATCTGAGCGTTATGGATGAATTGGAGCGAATACGACAAATTTTATTTGGGTTGTATCCCGCGGCTTAGGTCCTTGTCAATTTACCGACATACGGAAAAAGTAACCAATCAGAGCGCAGGCTATTGTTGTTGTGACGTTCGTGGGTGGTCAGTTTCATGTCGTGAAAGTGGCATTCAATTTCAATCGAGTGAGGTAGATGGTTTCCTCTTTGACGCTTTAAGAAAACTTTGCGTGAAGGTGCACTCTCTCTGATACCGACACCCCACTAAGCAAAGGGAGCTGTGCGCCGTGGATGAATCTGCAGGTTTTTTAGTGCCACATCATAGAATATCTCCATCAGCGAAGACTGCGGTGGGAAATGTAAAAACACCGCGGATTTCAATCAAAGATGGGGTCTATTAATATCATGGATGCTTTGGTTGCAATATGTTTGGCCTTATGTGGATTGTCGCTCGGACAAGATCCAAACAGTCGAGAATGTGTTACAGCCAAGCCCTGCATTTGTTCTGGAACAAGAGTTATTTGCAAGAATCGTCAACTTCGGTCAATGCCTTTGGGGATTCCTTTGCAAACGACCTCATTGTGAGTAAAACGGTTTCTTGGTTCTAGCTAGTTTACATGCTGTCATGTTGAATCGTAAGCTTACTCGTCCGCGAATTAAAATATCTCAAGTCAATCCTAACGAACTTTTTCTTAAGATCTCATGTTTATCGGTTTTGATAAGATATTTCGGGCTACTCTTTATCTAAGGTGAATACCTTGTTACCTACGAATGGCAGTTTTTGAACTGAGGGATTTTTTTACGGTGTCACCTTACAACGTGAGAAACACCGTGAACGGGGACCTTGGCTGGTAGAGGGTTTGCATCGTTCTGTTTACAAAGTGATAAGTAAAGAAAGGTTCGATTCGCGTGAGAATGTTTGGTTGAATTTGTACACTATGTTCAAAAAGAATGCAGGAATTAGAGAACATTGCTACGAGCTGGAATCGAACACGTCATGTGCTGCTTCAAATGTCAAATCGTCATGCGACGATTTTTCGAAGGAATGATGAATGTGACATGCCCATGTCTCTGAAATATTTTTAAGTAAGCTTAGTTGTTGCTTTAAAAAGCGAGTGGATTTCCTCTCTTGTGCTAAAACATCATAAACAAGTGACATATTGCAAAGGAATTACTGCATGATACGCGTACTTCCAATTGATAATGTGTCAACTAAACCGTTTCTTTGAAAGGTTCTCCTCTATTGTTATCTTTCCTTCATTAAACAAATAACAAGGCCTTCAATAAACTGTGAACTCGATCTTTCACTCAGTGTAAAGTAAATTTTCATGCTATGCTGTAACTGAAGTTTATTTAAGGCGATATCCTAGGAAGGAATCATTCGTGTCTTGTTTAGGTTCCGATCGGGATATTGACATATGTGCATTACTCGCAATTTATGTACATATTGGAAAGGTTTCCCGCCGTGTTCTTGCGACATAAATCAATTTAAAGTTGTTTTTTAAACTGGAAATCTCAATTCCTGTTTTACTTCTTTTTTTTTTTCGTGGCAGATTTTATGCGGCAAACTCAAAATTCAATTCGTAACTTTTGCCACCGCACATTGCTCCAAAGCCGTATTATTCAATTCTACTGTGGACTAATAAGAAATCGAAAGTAAACGGCGCACGAAAAATATGTTACATTTGTTCAATATTCCGACCAGAATACGCACCTTCTTTAGAAATCGTTTTCAGACTAGATATTCAATCAAATTCGGGATCTTATGAAAGGGAATTTTTTGTCGTCCATCGACAATTATTTCGACTGAAGCAAATTTATTAAATTAGCCTCTTTGTTTTCCTGTACTTCACATTGTTTTTGTTTTGCCGAAAGAACGCCATTCATTGGCACAGTGATTCTTTTCTTTCAATGTCCTTATTTATGAACAGTTGGATTCACATCACAACAGGTTTATTGTATTTGAGGTTCTCGCTCTCTTTTGTTGGTTTGTTTTTGAGCTTGATGCACGCTTTCCTTCCCTGAACTGATTTCCTGTTCGTTTCTAGCAAAATCTCCTGCTGTTGTATTTATTTAAATTATGCTCTAAAAAGATGAGAAATTCCAATTTTGTATAACTATCACAACAACCTACTGTACAGGCGATGCTATAACACTTCTATCAAAGCAAGTGAATTTTGATGTTTTCAAATAATTTTTTGTCAATGCTCTAATCTTCGAGAGTCTTGATAGATCAATTTATTATCAAAGAATAGGATCAAGAAGTTATAGATGCTGGAAAATGTGTTTCATATGCCCCTAGGCCAGAGAACATTATATGCAAATTCTTTGCCAAATGTAGACCCCCTACTGATGAATTGGTGGGAACACAGCTTTTCTCTTTGTAGTCTTTGTCCAAAACTTTTAATCAGAATGTAAGGGAGTGGTTCCAAAAAATATCTGTTGCCTTTTTTAATTCCAGTGATTTTTCTTTTATTTATATCTGTGATGTTTCAAGAAAAAGTAAACTTTAGATTAGCCTTCATTCTCTTGAAATTTGCAAGTCAAGCTTGATTCTTATCAATTTTTATGAGATTCTCAATCACTATGAGAAATATTATACAAAGCAGACTGAAATTCCAGGTGCTTTTAATTACGTTATTTAGACTTAAAGAATTAGTGGAGTGAAGGAAGTTGTCACAAGATATCATGCTTAAGCCTATACCAGTTGCTTTGAGTTTTATGATGGCTGTATTATAGTCTATACCTGTAGATTATAATGTTGTTTCTCCTTGGCATGGTAGTCGCTTTTTTTTCTATTCTTTTGACACAAACGATAGAGAAATAAAACAGCTTGACTGCTTTGTTTAAATACCTATAGCCTTGTAGACAGTGTAGATGGAAAGGTTTGTTTCAATAGGGAAAGAGAACTTGTGACTGGATTGACCAAATGCATCATTGTATGTGGCACATTTACTCTTGATTGATTGTTTCTGCCGTGACTAATTGTAATTTGTACATAACACTTGATCATTAATGCACAGAGGGTAAATTTGCCTTCGGAAAAATTGCCATGTTTCCTTTCGTTAATGGTTGACTCAGACCAGTTTAAAATACATTTTTGGGGTGTAATTATTACTGAGGAAGCTACTGTACATGCATAGCAAAAGCTGCTATAGGTGAACAGTCTCTAGAAGCAGACACAAGTGATTGTCATTGACACTTGCTGTCTAACGGGAGCACGGAAATGGGAATTAAAGGTATATTTAAGAACTCTATATATCTGCCAACTCATTCTTACGGGGAACAGTTTGAGATTTCCGTTATGGGAACTGATCTTATCTGTAGGATTTCAGACAAGACAATTTGAGGAGTTCTATCTAAGTTCTCGAATGTTCTTCTCTCTGCCATGGGGATTGCCATGGGGGGAAAGTGATCATGCATCTGTAAAATAATTTTTTTTCTTGAACTGGCACAAGTTTATTTTATCCCATATATTTAAGTTATGTTAGTCACAAGGGTGTAAAAGATCATGTTTTTCATAAGGCAGAAGGAATTGGTTTGTATAGGCACAAGCAAGGGTATGATCATACTTTCTGATTTACCGTGACAAGAATCGCACCCAGCTTGTGCCAGTGTGCAGTTGCAACTTTCAGAGAGATAACATCTTACCTTGTATCTAATATTTATATCATTGTTACAAGTAGATATACTCAGAACCAATAGATGTATGGAGACAGCACCAAGTATTTGTAGGTCCTTTAAAGAAGTAATGCTGGTGGTGAAATGTCTTAATTTGAGGTCTGTAAAAGCATGCCTTGAATGTTTTGGTTTATGAAAATAATCAACTTTTCTTTTTTCATTGGTTTCATAGGGTACTTTTTGGTTCAAAGCATTATAATGTGCTGATGTGACATAGTAGGTCACATTTAGTATTTCTATTTTACTGAAAATAATTTCTTACTCTTGAGAACCTTTTTTCATTTTATTGCTGTGGTGTATATTGAAAAAAGTTTGTTGTTGCATGTTGGAATTGAGAATGACCATGGATTAATTCTTGACCTATCAAGTGCAACTTGAATGTTTAGACATAACAAGAGCCCTCATAATTTGCTTTGTGACAGATTACTGACCAATTAATGTAACAGTGAACATGCAACTACAAACCAAGGCTACTAAGCTGATCATGGCGGCTAGTGTGCTCTTGGTTGGTTTTGTTTCTCCTCAATTTGAATTGCATCAGTAAGAATTAGAACTTCTCTATAATAGTACTTTCTTGTACATTTTCCACTCATGTTACCAAGCAACAGGACAAGTTTGTTGCAATGTCAGGCTGCTTAGTAAGGGTGTGTCCTGTGACATCAGGCAGTCCTTATATTGAGTAATACCCTGGCATCTTTGTCATTGAACAAAACTTTTGTACTGGTAATTGACCAGTGCAAGTAAATTGCAAACAATTCAGGGAAGTTTTGGCAGAAGAATTATTATGTATTTTTTTAAAATTATGATCGAATTGTCAAGCCCAGCAAATTGAAATGAAATTCTTGGACTTGAATTTTGTTTCTGATAGGCTCTTTTGTTGGCACTCAGTGTGCCCCCTGTAATTTTTAACAATTTGCTGGTTTAATTAACTTGTAACTATTTTATTAATATATTTGTGAGCAGAGTAAGATACGTTGGCCTTGTCATTGGCCTTGTCAAAGAATGTGATATGCCCTTCAGCTTGAAACAGAGCTTTGTTATCTAGAGTTCCGCGTACTGAAAATAAAACTGATTACTGCTGTTCTTAGGCGTGTAGATCTGAGTTATTAAAAAAGGTTTGTTTGTCAGAATGGTATATATTGGACAGTTGATTGATAATTTTGAAAAAAAATTGTAAGTTTTTTTTTACAGAATAACCATTATATTGGTTGTGAGTAAATAAGTAATTATTGTCTCGTCAATATATGAAAATTCTTACTATCAGTATTGGTTATATTTCAGCATAATCAATATATTAGACAACTTACACACTGAGGTATTTGAACCCTATTTTCAAAACAATTAAGCTCATATTAGATGTGAATTTATAATGCTCAAGTACCTGTAATATTGTTGAAAACAACAGAAATTCTGGATTTTACTGTACAGCTAACTGCATTAGATTAACATTTGAAAGTAATGAGGTGATCTTTTCAGTTTATGAACCTTTGTACAATATCTTTTGAAAAAGTGAACAAAGATAATTGCATTGGGAAATATTTGTAAATACAATATATATTTGACCACAAGTTCTTGTACTGATTAAAATGCGTGTTTCATGCCCAACTAGTAATTCACTTTTAATTTAACTTTCCCTTTTCCAAACGTTTATGAAAGGAGAAGAGCTGTAAATGAGAGTGGTTTTAAAGGCCTTTGTTACTTCAGATAGTCTTTGCAAATCCTCCAAAATTGTAACTTGTCTCAATCTATTACCTCGTAGATTGGCTTCATTTTCATTCTAAAAGAATCACAGATCACCTAATATTACTTTTACCTTGAGTTGCATGTGACCTGCTGTCAGTTTCATAAACTTGTAACTATAATATTGTTTTTGCTTGTTGAAAAAGTTAGATGAATTGGTGGTGTTGTAAAATTGGAATTCTGTAAAAGCTGAACAAAGTGCTGATTAGTTCGAGGCATTGTGGAAGTGAAATCTTGCCCCTTTAGAACTTCTTTCCCTTTTATACTTTGAAACAGTATAAAAAGCTGTGTAACGATGATTGTCTCCTTTCTCTGCATGTAGAAAAAGCCGACATGTCAGCCTTTTTTTTGTTTTTTTGAGCGCAAGAAAATTACTGCTAACTTGACCCTTATAGGAACTCGATCATGGCACACCTGAATAAATTTTAGATTAAAGCATCAGCAATAAACTGATGTATTTGTGTTCTGTTTTGGTTACAGGCATTGATGTCAATGCATGTAAATATCCTTTTTACCAGCAAGGATAGTGAAATTTTATGTGAGAAAGAACATTAAATTTGTTGGTGGCACTATGTAACAAAATCGAAATGTACTATTTAGTTATACTTTGCTTATTGTAGCTAGGAAAGAAAATCATTTACTTGGCTTACATTGTGTAGTGGATATATTTTCTTAAGACTGGATACATTCAAGCAATTAATCAAAGAGGTGCTCTTTATTTGGGTGTAATGTTCTGCCAAGAGCCCATCACATACCCACCTTGAAAGCAATAACTCAATTTTCTGTGTTTACTTGAGCTGTGCTTACAAGAAAGTGGAAGGTCATAACAATGAAATATTTTGTTTCTCTCGACTGGTAACTTTGGAACATAAATTTTTATCCTTGACAATAATTTTTTTTGTGCACTTAATACACCTCTGTTCCCAAGTAAATGGAAAACATTTGGTGTGTTTTTTTTCCCTCTTTATTACCAATTGTCCTTGCTCCAATATGTTGTCAATTTAATGCTGGTACGACTCTCAGAAAATGTTGTATTTGACCATTTTTTGTGCAGGCTTTTCTGGTTATTGGTAGTAAGGGAATGATTATGTTACAAACTGCCACCTTGATGTAGCCTTAGTTTTAAGGTGTGCAAAAACGTGATGTCGTTCAGTTTTTCATTTCATTGAACAAGTAGGTTGGGAAATAACATTATTTGATATTGTAGCTCTGTTCATGCTCAAGTTGTTTACGTGGCACATAGGCCAGTTTTACTTGAGAGATTTAAGTGTTTATAATCTCATTGTTAGCTTTAGTCTGTATCAGATTTTGTTCATCAGAGGTTTATCATTTGCTTCTTTTTTGTTGTTTTATTTTGTGGAAGAAAGGGGACCTTGGTTGAAATTTCATTTTTCTGGATGTTGTATGTGGGCTTTGTAAATGGCTAGGTACTCTTTGTATTCAAGAAGTCAATATTCTTAATGGAGCATTGCTTGGTGAAAAGTAGTTTGGGATTTGTTTGAATATTTTCTAGAAGGTTCTTGATGTACGGCACTTTTGATGTAATTCTGAAAGCAACTTACCTAGTATTAAATTATAATCATGGTAATGTTGTGAAAAGGTACAACATTTAACTTGGGAGACGGAGTGTTTAAGTAGAAATACAGAAATTGAGTATTTTTTGCTAGAACTTAGAAAGTGATAAGGGTGATGGATCACAAATTGTCGGGATAATATACATTTATCCACTGCATATGTATTTCGACACAGAAATCGATTTGAAGACAGTATGACTCCCCCCCCCCCT